TTATTAATAATAATTATTATATATTTTTAACAATAAAATTAATATTTTTAAAAATAAAATTATATAATTTTAATATTTTGATGTATAACGAAGACCACACCCCAAAGGCCCGAACACCTTTGCTGCGACTTTTTTTGTAAAAAACAAATAAATAAATAAAGAGTTAAGGGGTAACCGGGTAAGGGCCTTTGCTGCGTATGGGAATCAGTAACAGGGTAGGAAAGCAAACCCAAAAAAAAGTTATCAAATGGGTGATCATTGCTCTGCCTCCCCTACTAGGCTATTTGATTGTACTCTCTCCTGTTTTGTGTTGTTTTCTTTTTGACAATTTCTCCTGAAAAGTTGACATTTACACCCCACCTCCACCCCCCACGTCCCACCTCCAAAGAACAATTTTTTTTTTTTTTTGAAAAGTTAAATCCCCTCTAGTTGGGGCTATAATATTGCTAGTTGCTGCCACTAAATTTTGTTTTTTGGTTTCTCGTCTGGTATCCGGGCTTCGCCCTAACTAATCCGGATCGATCGGTGTGGCGCACCGGGTTGTGGTGGAAAGGTCTCCCAACGGAGGCTGTTGCATACACAAGGTCTCGAACTCGAGATCTTGCTTAAGCTGGAACAAGCCGCTTATCACTTGATCCAACCCCTCGTTGATTGCCACTAAATTTTGTTAGGTATATTAAAATTATCATAATTTTATTTTAATCTAACAATTAAAAATAATTTATAATTAATAAATTAATTAATATTTATTATTTAATTGATTAAAATTAATTTTTAAATTTAAATATTAATATTTAATAAAATAAATAAAATAACGTAATTTAAAGTTACATTTTAATTTTTTAGAGTTGAGATTGATATGTATTTTTTAAAATTATAATTGAAATATTTACATTAAAAATTTTATTAGCTTATATAGAATTTATTCATAATACTCATAATTTTTTTTAGAAAAGTAATGTAAAATTTACTTTAGACGAATTGTATATTTTTATAATTATAAAAATGAGAATTATTTTTTTATATTAAGATGATACTGTTCTACCAACAATTATATAATGCGTAATTTTACGAGCAACTAATTCAATTTTTTTATTTTTTAATATTCATGTTTGTCCATAAAAGTACTGATTTGTTAAGGGTATAATTGTCATTACAGGAGTCAGGCTTTTTGGCTAAACGACAAGCACCGCCCAGTCCCGAATTCTCTCCGACAAATTTCAGCGAGTCGGTGAACGTGACACGTGGACGGCTAGATTTGAAAATGGAGCCAGCATTGGAGAGACTTGGGAGCCCCAAGCAAAAATGCCCTAACCGTAGTTAAAATCCGCAGTTTCCAAAACTCAACCATGATTAAGTGGCGCCGCTTTACCCTTTTTTTTTTTTTTAATTAGTTTTTTTCCACTTCATTCAAGTCCCTCTCTTTCTTTCAATGTATCTGTCTCTCTCTAAGCAGACTAGACATGAAG